GGCGGGGGGCGCGGGGGCCCCGCGAGCCCCACGCGTGCGGCGGGCGGGGGCCGCCCGCGGTGCAGCCGGGACGGGGCGCGCGCCCGCGCCGCTCTCGCCTCGCCTCGCCTCTGGCGCCTCTTTCCGGTGCTGCCCGCACGCAGCCGACCTTGCCGTGAAAGACACCGGCTCGGCGGGGCGCTGCCACCGCGGAGCGCTGGGCTCGCCCCTCGACGGAGCCCGTGCAGCCCTGAGACTGGCTGCTGCGGCAGGAGAAAAGCCGACGGGCCGGTGTTCAGCACCCAAGGATCCCCCAGCTTAAACCCTGGCTTGCAGCGATGTGTTGGCTTAGACGTGTGGCGTGTTCCTGGCTTGTTTGGGGCTGTCTGCCCAGAAACACCCAACAGAAGCAGCCTGAAGACAGTTAAAATGGGTAGCAGAGAAATCAATCAGAGCGATTGTCAGCAGGACGACTCATGACTAAATCAGCAGGTTGCCCGCATAAATATTGGTTCGGCATTACGTGTAAATAAAGCCCCTGAGCTCTGGTGGATCTTCAGTGCACTTTTTGCCTCCTCACCATGAGAATTCTGGTTACAACCCAGAGGACGCCGTTACTTATGCAGCACATTCCTCCTAAGTGGTTGTGCTCCCCTTTCCGTGCCAAAGCCCTCCCAAGGCAGTTGCAAAAGAATAGCCAACGGCATGAAGTAAATGCTAAAGTGCCAATGAAATGACCCAATTACTCCGCTCATAACACTTCTAACAGAACACAAGTAGAAAGCAATGGGTGCAATTGACCAAAGATGAGGTCAACAAACAGTCCTTTTGAGAGTTCTGTGTGCACACAACCCCCATTTCTGGCAAAACCCTCGCACCAGCCCTCGCACCAGCCCTCCACCTGGCGGGCTCAGAACCAGAGAAGCATGTGGTTAGATGCCGCTTCTTCCCTACAAAGCAGTTCAGAAAGCAGGCTGTGAGTTGTGCAGAACTGTAGTGCTGCTCCTTCCCCCGTCCTGCCTGGCTACTGGCACCCCCGGCAAACCGAGCCCTGGCACGGGTGCGATTTCTTTAGGTGCAAACGGTGCCTCACTTGATGAAATGTCGCAGAGTGAATCTGCCAGGTGAGAGAATAGCAGCCTCCAAGCAGAACAAAGCGGCCCTGCTGCTTTGATCGCCCAGCGCAGTGGGGCCACCTCCCCCCAGAGGGGCTTGGCGCGCTCCACTGCAGCCCACAGGGGTGTTTGCTTCCCTTCCAAGTGGAGGCTGTGCCAGGCAGTGCCCCAGCTCACATGAATGGGGTGAAACTAGGCCAAGTGAGGGGAATCCTGGTCTTCCTTGCCTCCCTCCGGAGCAAGGGGAGGAGAGGCTGGCTGGGCACTTAGGGAGAAAGGGCAAGCCGGCTGCTCCTGGCCCCCCTGCCCGCCCTCGCCCCCTTGACCAGGTTGCTGCCTTGCTGGCTGGCCGCCTCGAGCAAGGCATGTGCGTGAGGGTCATGTTGCGCTTCTGCAGGGCGGCTCCGCTGCGTGGGGGGGGGGGGGCGGCCTCGCTGGAAAGAGGCAGCTCGGCAGGAGGGCCCAGTAAGGAGGCCGGGCTGCCTCCAGCACGGGGTGTTCTGCCACATGTCCCACGCGTCCGGGACCTGCCCCACTCTGGTGGCTCCTGCATGTGGGCCTGGTGCAGGGGGAGGGCTGAAGCTTTGGCCGTGGGCTCTGAAAGCGACTTGCCTCCTCTAGAGTCAGGCTGCGGTGTCACCCAGCCCAGGCACGGCTGGCCGCCTTTCTCCCTCTTTGCTGTGGTCCCTGTAGCCCGTGGCCTCGTCTCACAAAGCTTCTTCATCTCTGCACCTCTTCCCCCAACTGCTTCTTCTAGATGCTTCAGACTGCAGCACCCATACTGGCTGGGGATAATAGGAGTTGCAGCCCAGCACGTCTGGCAGCTGCCAGGTTGGGGGCAGCTGTCTCGGCAGAAAAGCAGAATTCACCTCTGCGAGATGCAGAGATGGCCACTGGTCTGGGGGCTTTCAAAGGGGCAGGGCCCCTTCCTGGGGGAGGATTCCCCCCGGCCCCCCGTGGCTGCTCGTCCTGAGGAAGGGCTCTGTGCTGCCTCCAGCGTCGGAGGCAGGGTGCCCCACTTGCTGGGGCACGTGTGGGAAGGGGCTGTCGTGCTCGTGCCCCGCTTCTGGGTTTCCTGTGGGCGGCGGATGGGCCCATGCGAGCGGCCCTTGGCCTCTTTCGCTGCCAGGCCTCGCCTGATGTCCTTGTTCTGAGGTGGTGCTGGTGGTGCTGAGTCTGCGCTCACGCTTCGGCACCCAGGAAGGGCCTTCCCGGATTACCGACGGGGCTGGGGGACACCGGCCTTCCTTGTGGCACTCCCGGCCACCGACCCAAGGCTGTTCACGGGGAACAGTCATCCCTTGGCCCCCCAGGCTTCCTCTCCCACATCCTTTGCACCACAACACTGACCAGGCTCTGACGCTCGGCTTAGGCACATCAGAGGCCAGGACCATGCCAGGGAGCGGGTCTGTTCCCCCAGCCCAGCTTTGCAGGCTCCAGCCGGCGGTGGCAGCTCTCCAGGGTTTCTAGCCCTGCCAAGAGATGCCAGGAATCAAACCAGGAAGCTTTGGCCCTGAAGCAGGGCTCTGCCACCAGGCCACCGCCCAACCCTTGCCGTTGGCAGCCCCCTCCGAGACACTCTGCAGCATAAGCTGGAAGAGAAGCGGGGGCGTGCTCTTTCCAGGGTCTGCAGAGCAGGATGCAGCTACCCAGAATATTCCGGAAATCAGTATGTCTGAAGTTATTTAATTGTATTTTCTTTTGCAAGTCCCTACATATTCCCAGTGCCATTTCTGCTCGCTGGCCAGTGGAGAGAGGGAGGGCTGCATTTCAGTGGCAGAGCCAAGGTGGGCACGCAGGAGGTCCAGATTCGACGAGAAGGACCCGTGTCAGCTGGAGGCTCTCAGCTGGGAGCTGCTGCTGGGTCGGGGCTCTTGGAGACTTGGTCGGGGGTGGCTTCATCCATGCACGCAATCTGTTTTTTTAACAGGACCTGAAAATCCAGACCAGACCCCTGGAATGCTCCCTGGGGGCGATTCCCTGTCCTGTCCCCATGGTGGCAGCAGGGCTGGCTGTGGGACACCCTGAGAAACGTGGCGCTCTGGGGTCCGCGCGGGTGCTCCTTGCCCGCTTTGCAGTGCAGTGGGTGGAAGCCACGCCCTGCAGTGCCTCTTTCTCCCTTCCTGCCTCGGCAGAACCCGGTGACAGGGCTGCTTCCGGCCAGCTGCGACCACCCGGATGCCTGGGTCCGAGACAACGTCTACAGCATCCTGGCTGTGTGGGGCCTGGGCTTGGCCTACCGCAAGAATGCCGATCGTGACGAGGACAAGGCCAAGGCGTACGAGCTGGAGCAGGTACGGGCGGACGGGGGGGAGCGGGGGGCCTGCAGCAGCCCCGCAAGCCTCCGCGATGGAGGAGCAGTGCTGGCATAAAAATGTTTTAATAAATAATAAATAAATAAATCCTGCGTGCGGCACATGTGCGGAACAAGGTGAAGCAGGGCGAGGCCCTGGCTGGGCTCCGGTTCCCCTCCCCCCCTCCCCCTCCTCGTTATTTCGTTAAGTGAGGCAGATCTGCTGCCGCACGAAGTGGCGATGGCCGCTTGGCCACTCTGCAAGCAGAAAGCTGGACTCGGCGGGGCCTGTGCTCAGATCCAGCCCAGTTCTTCCGGCCCTTCTGGTCTGGAGGAGCCACCTCTTGCCAAGGACCAGACTCCGTTTCTGGCCACCCTCATTGCAGGGGTTGCCATGAGTTCTGTTTCCTGGTGTGCAGAGCTCTGTCCTGGGTGGCTCCCAGTCACTGCGGGCTGCTGCACTCGGGGCAGAGGGTGGGCGAGAGGGAAGAATCCCAGCCCCTCAGAGGTGCCTGGTTCTAGAAGGTGCTTCCAGCGGGAGCCGAGTGAAGCATTCCCCAGCCTCTTGCTCAGCGACATCACGTGTGGAATGCTGAGCTAGGAAGGGCATTTTCCTCTTAATTAAGAGAGGGACACGTTCTTCCTTCTGTCCTTGCATCATGGGCCGCCCTAGCATGACCCCGGTAACAGTATCTTTCTGGCTACTTTATAAGGGTCAGGCAGGTAAAATTGGATACCTGCTGGACAGGCCGGGGCCGGCTGGTGTGTGCCGTGATCAGATGTTCTCCCGGGAGCAGTGCTAGTTTCATTTTGGCCCCGTGACCAGGCAGACTCCCTTGCCCCTTCTCTGAAGTTGTCCCAGAGCAAACTCTGCCGACTGGCTAGAAAAAGTCCCCGGCCTGGTCAGCTCATGCAGGCCTGTCGTCTACATTGCTCTTTGCCATTTTGGAAAGATGGGATGCCACTGTAATGGATACCTCTTAGCAGGTGTTCTTTATGGCACAGAAATGTGCATGATCACCCGCTAATCCTTGCGCACCAAGCCGATGTCCAGAGGACAGAGAAGAAACTGGTTGTAAACAACAGAGCCCTGCATGGACCTGGCTCTTTAATCAAGCGGCCTGGACGTTCTCCCTTCTGCCTGGAGTGGCCAAGCTTGCTGGCTTTGGGCTGCTGTAGCCTAGCAAGTAAATACCATGAAGATGGCAATCCCAGGTCTGGTTACATGCTGGGGCCTTGCGAAAGGTCACTGGCCAGCCGGCTGTGCTGAGCAAGGAGTCCGGCTGCCCCTGGAATGTGTGCAGCCGGATCATCTCCCCTTCCTCTCCACAGAGTGTGGTGAAGCTGATGCGAGGCCTCCTGCAGTGCATGATGAGGCAGGTAAGGCGCCGGGGGTCCCCCCCGCTTCCCGGGCTCAGGTCCAGGATGGGCAGAGAGCGTTGCTGGGCTGGTTTCCTTGACCCCGCTGCCCGTTCTGCCCGTCCACCGCCGCTAGCGCGAGATGCCTCCCTCCGCGTGTTCCAGTGCTGCTTGAGCGCCGCACCCAGCTCCCCAAAGACAGCCTGAAGAGCTTGTGGGTTTGGTAAGATGGCAAGGGCGCCACCTGGCCCCCCAGGGCCACTCCCGGGGTGATGCAGGAGTGGTCCCTGCCCTGTGCTGCATTCAGCAGTGCCCTTGGAAGGCAGTGCCTGCTTCCCTCAACCTGGAGCCCCGCAGCGTGGAGCAAGCACCCCGTCACCCCTCCGGCCATGAAAAGACCACCTGCCCAAGGTGGGCCCCTCAGCGAGCGGCTCCTCATCCTGGAGCCTGAGGCGGGAGTGCTGGTGAAGCTCCATGCCTCTCCCAGAGCCACCTTGTTCGACCCGCTCCTCCCCACCCCTCCAAGCAACATCTGCACTGGGGCCAGCATCTTGCCCCCCAAGAGCCCTCCGCCCACCAGCCTTCTCTGCCTGTGAAGCACGACCTTGTTTTTGCTTGCGCTGCGCCCAGTCCCCTGTCAGGCCAATGGCTTTGAGGCGCATGCAGCCCCTCCTGCCCCCACAAGGGCCCCTGTGGCGACTGGGCTCAGGGCAGAGCGGGCTTCCTCCCTCTGTGTGGCCAAGCAGCTCATGCTCCACAGACTCCTGTAGAACTGGAGGGGAGAGTGCGCTGCTAGAAGCTGCGTGGGGCTGGCAGAGGAAAGCGAAATCCCAAAAGAGGACGGGCTGCTCCCAGCGTGTTGGACGGTGGGGCCGGGACGCGTCTGCAAAGCGCCTGGCAGCCTCGGGCCGCCAAGGGCCGCCTGACCCCTTCGTGCCACGGCTCTTCCAGGCGGACAAAGTGGAGGCCTTCAAGTACAGCCAGAGCACCAGGGACAGCCTGCACGCCAAGTACAACACGGGCACCTGTGCCACGGTGGTGGGGGATGACCAGTGGGGCCACCTGCAGCTGGACGCCACCTCCCTCTACCTGCTCATGCTGGCCCAGATGACGGCCTCTGGTACGGCTTGTGGGCAGCTGCACCCGCGCACGGGGCCAGGGGACTGGGGTGGGGCTTGGGCGGCCCGCATTGCGGGGGGCCGGCAGGAAGGGGGCTCTGCACCCGGGCGCTGCATCTCCTCTCCTCCTCTGCAGGGCTGCACATTATCCACAACCTGGATGAAGTCAGTTTCATCCAGAACCTGGTCTTCTACATTGAAGCCGCTTACAAGACCGCAGTGAGTCTCTCTCTGTGCAGGGGCTGGGCGGACGTAGTGGGGGGGGGGGGCTCTGTGTGCCGGTGGCAATGAGCGGGGGCCACAGTGGGGCCGGTCGCGCTCCTGCCGGCTTCTGGGCAGCAGGTCCGGAGGGGCCGAGTTCCCGGGCTCCGCCTTCTCACCAGGGCAAAGCCTTCGCTGCCCTGCACACTGGCTGTGAAAGCCCAGGCAGGGCTGAGTGGGGCGTGAGGAAGACTCGGGCTCCACAGGCCTTCGGCAGTGATTGCAAGAGGGGTAGGTGGGCAGAGCTGCCTGCCACTCCTCTCCGCCTTGCCCCAAGGGGGGGTCACCAGAAACCCCTCACTCTGCATCGTTCTGGGGTAAGCAAAAGGTGGCGCGTCCGAGCGAGGGCATGCCGTCTGGCTCAGGTGGCCCGTGCTTCGGCCGTCCTTGGCCGAGCAGCTGGGGCCTGTCTGCCTCTGCTCTCGCGCGGCTGCTTCTGGAGCGGGAGGGACGCGTGGCCCGGCGAGTGGCCAGAGAATCCGCCTGCCCTCCTGCTGCCCTGATTTCTCTGGGGGTGGCGGCTCTGCAGCCCACCCTGACAGCCCAGCTGGGCAGTGCCTCTCATCCCGGCGAAGGAGCACCCCTGCACCTCCCGGGATGCGCCTCGGCCCCGTGCTGCTGCACCAGGCCTCTTTTCTTTGGCTTGGAAGGGAAGCTGCAGGCCTTGCTGGGTGACGGGGGCCCAGGGTGCTGGTAGTGTCATTGAGCGGCCCGTTTTTGGCAGGACTTTGGGATATGGGAGCGCGGCGACAAGACAAACCAAGGCATCACGGAACTGAACGCCAGCTCCATCGGCATGGCAAAGGTGAGGCCTCCGCTCTGCTGGAGGCACGTGGCCTGGAGCCCAGCCTCCTGCTGCCTCTTGCTGACCCTCAGAAGCCCCAGTGGGACAAGCCCCCTGCCCAGCCAGTGAGCGGGTGATCATCTCCTGGCTCCTCTGCAGGCTTTCCCCCATTCGAAAAGCTTGGAACTCTTCCCGTAAGGCTTGGTTGCTGACAGTAACCGCTTTAGCCCAAAATACGCTGGGGGGGCGGTTATATTTTTTGCCCCACTCCTTTTGCCTTTGCCTTCTCCCCACATTGCACTAAGGCAGCCCCTAAGAGAGCCTCCAAAGCGGAATTCAGCCCTTGGACAGAACGAGGATCGGCGCCCCCGGTTCAAGGCGGGGGCGGCGCCTCCGGGCAGGGACTGCAGGGCTGGGGAAGAGCCCTGGCCAGTCCCCTGCACGCTCTCCCCTGGTGTGGCGCCATCGTCCCCTGGAGGAGCAGCTCATAAGCGCCTGCTTGGCCCAGCATCCTGTTTCCAGCGGCGGGCGGCCAGACGGTTTTGCCCAGCAGGCCACAGACAGGGCAGCAGCTCCTGTGGCTGGCTTCCACGCCCGGGTCCAGGGGTTCATTGCCTGTGGCTGCGTGAGCCTGCCCTCCTGACGCCGCTGCCACGGCCTCTCTTCTCTCCGGTCCAGGCGGCCCTGGAAGCCTTGGATGAACTCGATCTCTTCGGTGCTGAGGGGGGGCCCCAGTCAGTCATCCACGTGCTGTCCGACGAAGTGCAACACTGCCAGGTACGGGGGGCTGCGTTCGAGGCGGCCCAGGCCCCCGAGACTCCCGCGCTGGGGCGCTGCGCTCCCTGGCTGCTGCTCCCTTGGCATGAGCTGCTCGGCTAGGGGAGGAGGAGGGGCCCTGACGGTCCAGGCAGCCGGGCCACCTGCCAGGGCAGTGCTTGCCCTGCAAGCGAGCGCATGGCCCCCCCCATGCTTGTGTGCGAGCACGGGCCGGCCCTGACCCTGTGCCCGGGCCCCGGTGGTGTCCGGCAGGGCTAAGCAGGCAAGGCAGCGTCCTCTGTCTGCCAGAGGGGCTTGTGTTCTGGACCGCGGCCGCTTTCTCTCCCACCTAGTCCATTCTCCACTCTATGCTGCCGCGGGCTTCGACTTCCAAGGAGATCGATGCCAGCCTGCTCTCGGTCATCTCCTACCCCGCTTTCGCAGTGGAAGACAGTGACGTGGTGGAGAAGACCAAGCAGGAGATTATCACCAAGCTGCAGGCAAGAGCCCTGGCCCTCGCGGGGTGGGTGCTGCGATGCGCCTCGCACGGAGCTGCGGGTGAGGACTGGCTCCCTCTGCTCCTCGGGGAGGCGTCTGACCTGCCTCCATTCTTTCCCAGGGCCGTTACGGCTGCTGCCGCTTCCTCCGTGACGGCTACCGAACCCCCAAGGAGGTAAATTCTGACAGGGCCTGAGGTGCCCCGTGCATTTCTTCCGCCCTTCTACGTGGTAGATGTTCCGCAGGTCACGGAGTCTGTGCACTTCCGCTGGGTGGCTTGGAGGAGATGGGACCCCTTCATGGTGCGGTTAAGCGCACTGTGGGGCCAGAGCGAGGGACATTCCCCAGTGAGAAAAGGAACTTCTGCACCTGTATGAGGAGAGGCTGGGCACTGCTGGCAGGGCAACCTTTGGCAGAGGCAGCGAAGTCGGATGCCTCAGAATGGCAGGAGCCAGTGCGGCAGTCCATTAAAATCCGGCTGCAACGGCGACGTTGCGGTTGCCTGCGATTCCGCGAGTGGGAGCGAGGTGTGAGAACACAGCACCTGTAGGGCCTGCTGGAGAGGCTGCTGTGCTGGAAGTGCCCGCAGTCCAAGCACCGACTTGTACGGGGGTTCTGCCAGCGTTCCCCTTTCGGCATTCTGAGAGTGTAAGCGGTGCCCTTTTTGCATGCGAGCCGCTTGAGGTTTGCTTGTCAGGCCTGCCCATTTTCTTCCTGGGTGATGCTCAGAGGTCGCCAGTGGCGCTGCCTCGTCCTCCTCTGCTGATGGGCCGCGGCTGCCGGTGCCGCCCCCCACCATGCACTCTCCCCGCAGGACCCGAACCGGCTCTACTATGAGCCCGCTGAGCTCAAGCTCTTCGAGAACATCGAGTGTGAATGGCCCCTTTTCTGGACCTACCTCATCATTGACGGCCTCTTCAGCGGCAACGCGGAACAGGTGGGCTTAAGCCCGGGGCCGGCGGCATTGGAGAAGAGGGGGCTGCCCGGGGGAGGCTGGGGGGCACCAGTCCCCAGGCTGCGTGGTCTGCTCGCTACTGTGTCAGGGAAAGGAAGGCTGGTGCGCACAAGCTGCCGCCCTGCGCTGGCACGCAAGCACCTGCCCAAACGCCACTGGGGACTCCTCGCGGGAGGGTGCTGCTCCGTCGCCTCTCCAGGTCTGCCTGTGCAAAGGGTCAGGAAGTTTACAGGGCAGACTTCAGGCTGCGTCGCATCCCTGCGCTGGATGGAGGGGAGGGAGGGTTGGTCGCCTGGCCGTTCCAGGGGGCATCCCAAGGGTATCTCCCTACTCCTCGCTGGTGCCGGCTGGACTCTGTGGCACGGCCCCCTCAGGAGAGTCTGCCTGGCCTGTCCCTCGTGGCTCCCTGACTTGCCCTTCGCTCCCACACAGCAGCCTTGCCCTGCCTGGCGCTCTCCAGATCTGCTTGACCACAGCTCCCATAATCCCCATGAGGAAGATTGCTGGGATGGCGCGGGCGGGGGGTAGCCCAGCACAGGCGGAGGGTCCCGGCTGGGGGTGGCTGGCTTTACCCAGGCGAGGCCCGAGCTGGAGACGAAGATCACTTGAAAGAGCAGAGCTCCTGCGGCGTGGGCAGGTCGTGACTCTCTTGCACCCGGGTTGAAGGAGTGTCTGAAAAGCTGAGCGCCTTGGCGGGAGGGGGCTCGCAGGGTTGTCTGCCACTCACGCGCTTTCCTGGGACAGGCCTGGGGGGCTGGCCTGCCATGGAATCTTGCATTCATGCAGGGAGGCGTTCCGGATTCAGGGTTATGACGACGAGGTGGCAGCCTCCAGGCTGCGGGGCCCTGTTCTTGCGAGGGAGCCCTGGCTAAGCTGCCCTCCTCTTCCCATCCAGGTCCAGGAATACCGGGAAGCCCTGGAAGGGGTCCTCATCAAGGGCAAGCATGGCGTTCTGCTGGTTCCAGAGCTGTACAGCGTCCCGCCGGAGAAGGTCAGCAGTGAGGCTGAGGAGTGCAAGCCAGGAAGGACAGTGGTGCAGCTTTTCTGCCTCTGGACTTTCTCTCACGAGCCTTGAGTGGAGCCACAGGGGCTGCAGCTGCGCCTCGGAGTGGCTTCGTGGCCGCCTTGCTTGCCTCCATTCTTAAAGCTATTGCCTGGGAAGTCACGAAATCCCTAGAAATGGCCAGATAAGAGACTGAAGACGCTGTTAACAGCCCGGATGCTCTTCCAGCGCTTTAAGTGTTCCCTGAAAGCCCTGCTGTGATTCTGGATGGCTTCCGCGGACCAGTCTCCGGAGACCTGCTGCCTCTCCCCCCGCAATGCCGCAGTGCTGCTCCCCAGCCCATGTGCGTCAGGCTGGCTGGGGCCAGTCCCCGTGACGTCACCTTTGGTTCGGATGGGGTTGTCGTTAGGCATGTGCGGTGAGCAGCCCTGCCGCTGATCCACAAGGCAGCAAATGAGACCAGTGGTTTTCGGAGGATGTTTCAGAGATCGTGCTGCCTTCCCACGGCCTCTCCTGCCACCCTATGCCTTCAGCGCAGTCGAGCCAGGCCGGTTGAAAGCAGGACTCGCCTGTGCAGCGATCACCAGCCCCCCCCCCCCCCCCCCCGTGTCTGCCCCTGCCCACTGGGCTCAGGCGGGCCCCTCCCCATCGTCTCGCTCTCGCCTTCCAGGTGGAGGAGGAGTACTGCCACCCGCACACCGTGGACCGCATGCCGCTGGGCAAGCTGCCACTCATGTGGGGCCAGTCCCTCTACATCCTGGGCTGCCTCATGGCAGAGGTGAGTTGGGCTGCCTGGCCTGGCCTGGCCTGGCCTGGCCTGGCCTGGCCTGTCCTGCAGGGGGCCGCCTTGTCCTCCGGCCCTTCCCACGTCCCCTGGAAGGCCGGCAGCGGCTCCCTGCGTGGTGCACGGGGAGCCTGCTTCGGCCGTGGGCAGGGCCTCGGGCTCACCGGCCTTTGCTCCAGCCGGACGGCCATCTCTCCCTGGAGCGGCCCAGACCCATGCAGGCAGCTCTGATGGCAGCCCAGGGACCTCCCAGGCTGAAGCCCTGCAGGGGTCCCCCGGAGCTCATCCAGAGGAGCCACTGGGTGGGAGATGGCAGAGAGGACCGGGGTGGGGCGTCCAGCCAGCCCCATGCAGAACTGGCGTGTGGGTCTGGCGCCACGGTGCGGCGGTCGGTCGGCATTAGTGGAGATCTCCCACAGGGGCCCAGACCGACCCGCTCGCACTCCCGGCTCTGCTTTCAGGGCTTTCTGGCTCCAGGGGAGGTTGACCCACTGAACCGCAGGTTTTCCACGGTCCCAAAACCTGACGTGGTGGTGCAGGGTAAGCGGGGGAAGCCTGGCTGGGCTGGAGGGGTGTTGCGGCGAGGGCCCCCTGGCAGGATGGGTGGGCCCCTCTGCGGGGGGAAGAGACAAGGGCGCCGTGTGCCTGGACGGCAGTGCTCTGTGGGTGTGCGTGGCATCGGGGACGCGAAATGCCCCTTGAGACGTGCTGGCGCTCGGCATCGAGCCGTGCGCAGCCCTCCCTCCCTCCCTCGGCCCTGCGAGGACTGCCGGGCCAGTGCCTTCTGCCCTTTGCTGCTTTGCGTGGTCGGGCTGGCTGCCTCCTCCTGGGCTGCTGCTCCCAGGCAGCTGCCCCGCTGGGGTCGTTTTCAGCCTCACACCAGTGGCCCAGACACGGTCCCAAAGATGGGAGCCGGGGGCCACCCCATGTGGAGGGGCTGAGTGCAGGAGTGGCTGGGGGTGCCCTCTGGTGCCCCCATCCAGCTGGTGGTCCGCCCCTCCCTCCCGGCAGTCTGCATCCTGGCGGAGACGGAGGACATCAAGGCCCTCTTGCAGCAGGAGGACATCGAGGTGGAGACAGTGGCTGAAGTCTACCCCATCCGTGTGCAGCCAGCGAGAATCCTCAGCCACATCTATGCCCGACTGGGTGAGCCGGGGCAGGGCGAGAGGATGGATCGGGGCAGCCGTCCCAAGGGGAGGCATGAGAACCGTCCAGAGGCGGTGCCGCTGCTTGTGGCTGCACACTGGCGGTCTCTGGCTGGCAGCCACCTGGACTCGCGCAGGGCAGGTGTTGGGTCCCCTGCACAGTGCATCGCGCCCCCGCCCTCCCATGGGCTGTGAGCACCAGACGGGGGGAGGGTGTCTGGCCAGCGGGCCCAGGCACCTGGAGGGCCCTCTGCCGTGAGGTGCTTGGCCAGCATGCGGGTGGCTTGCGGGAAGGAGCGCACCCCTGCTTGGTGGCGCAGTCAGACTCCAGCACTGCCAGGCAATGCAGGGAAGCCCCTGCTGGAAATCCCAGGGAGCCGTGACTGCTGCTCTGCAGATGCCGGGCGAGGTCCCACCTCAGTTTCCAGGGTCCCGCTGCTCCAGGGCAGGGGGCCTCAGCGCGTTGCATGCAGGTGGTCTTGCGACTGGCCCCGCCACCCCAGGTAACGTGGGCACACAGCCCTGCCTGAAGCGGGGCTGGCCGCGGCCTCTGGATTCTGCCCCGGCTCCAGAGTGAGGGGCCATTTCCGGCATGCTCCTCGCTGGCCTGTCCCATGGGACAGAGGCTGCCTCCTGCGGACTGCCGAGCCGGCCCCCGCCTCCCTCTCCGTCACACCCGCCTCTGCCTCTGCCCCGGCAGGCCGCAACAAGCGCATGTGTCTGAGTGGGCGGCCCTTCCGCTACATGGGCGTCCTCGGGACCTCCAAGTTCTATACCATCCGGGACAGCATCTTCGCCTTCACGCCGCAGGTGAGTGCGGCGTGTGATGAGAAACGGAATGCAGTCCTGACCTCTGCGCTCTGCTGGGGAACATGGGCAGGAGGGTCTGGTTGGTCTTCTGCCCTGCTTGCGGCTATCCTGCGGGCAGATCGGTTCAGTCTGCTCCGGCGTCCACGCTCCCCCGACGCACTCATCTGCCTGCCTGCAGTTCGTGGACCAGCAGCAGTTCTACCTGGCCCTTGACAACAAGATGATGGTCGAGATGCTTCGGACCGACCTGTCCTACCTGTGCAGCCGCTGGCGGATGACGGGGCGGCCCACCGTCACCTTCCCCGTCTCACACACGATGCTTGGTGAGTCTCCCACAGGCTCCCAGCCTTCCGGGGGAGGCAGGCGGAGGCAGAGTGCCCCTCTCTCGCGCTGCTGCCACCCCATGGCGCCTCTCCTCTGTGTCCAAAGATGAATCTGGGACCAGGATCCATCCAGCTGTCTTGGCCACCCTGCGAAAGCTGCAAGACGGGTATTTTGGAGGGGCAAGGTGAGCGGTGCTGGCTGACCCACCGACCGCGAGCCTCCGTGCGGGGAGGGGGCAGCCAGGCGCTCAGCAGGACGCGGCTGTGCCTGCTGCGTTCAGGCCTCGCTGCGGAGGGATCCAAAGAGCGCTGCAGGCCAAACGGGAAGGGGGGCGCATTCCCACGTGGAGGAGAAGCAGCCTTTGCGGCTGTGCAGCAGTAATGCTTCAGGCAGCACATCGGAAAGGAGGGGTGCCGTGGAGTGCCTTGCAGCGGGCTTTTAAGGAAGCCAGCGTTCTGAGCTGAGCCGGCGTGGCGTGGCGTGGCGTGGCGTGGGAGTCTCTGGCCCGCCCTCAAGAGGCATCAGCTGGTTCTCGACCGCTGGCTTTCCTGGGCTGCCCTTGCTCTGGTGGACCAGTGGCTTGTCGGCAGCTTGCAGCTGCTTGTTTCCAGCCCTCACCTGGCCCTTCCAATTCCCGCAGGATCCAGACTGGTAGGTTGTCTGAATTTCTCACCACTTCGTGCTGCACCCACCTCAGCTTCATGGATCCTGGGCCGGAGGGTAAGCTCTATGCTGATGATTATGGGCTCAGCCTTGACAGCTTCGGCAAGTTAGACCCTGAGGACTGGCTGCATGGCTTACGGTTGGCCGAAGATGGTAAGAGATGGTCGCTCCCTCCCTGCTCTTGGAGTATGCTGTGGTCAGGAATGCCGGATTCCTTAATCCAGCCCATAATGCCACAGCCGCCTCATGTAACCACATCTCTTCTTCCTGCCCGCTCATGAATTAACCTCCTCCTCTCTAATGTTTCCGGTGCTGTTAGGGGGATGGAACTTCCTGTGCTGGCGAAAATGGGGCTGCCAGGAAAGCGGAGCTGCCAGTGACTGTTGGCAAAGGGATCTGGTCCCTCATGCGCCTGCTCTGCTGAGACTGCTGCTTGGTTCGAAGGGGGCCCTTCCCCCAGTGCCGAGCAACAAGCCAGCTGCCAAAGGCGGCAAGGCCAAGCGGGGAAGAGGGCAGAAGGGGCTTCCTCCAGGGCCGCCGGGAAGCCCTCAGGGTTCGTGCTTTGCTCCCCAGAGGGTTCCCCCCGACAACCAGGGGTGCCTGGCATGGGCTGAACGGGTCTCAGTCAAAACAGCTGGTAGAGAGTCTTTTCCAGTGGGATCCACCAGTGGCCAGAGAAGGATAAGACTGCACCTCTGCTGGAGATGACTTCTCTGGGCACAGGTGTGAGCCACACCAAACTTGTCATTAGAGGGAATTCGGAAAGGGAAGCAAATGCAGACGTGCAACGGGTGCAGCTGACTGGGCTCCTTGCTGAATGCGGCGCCTGGGGAAGGTGCTTTCCCTGCTCCCCGAAGAAGCTTCCTTTAGCTCGAAAGAAGAGCTCCCTATGCCGGGGGGCCACTCGGAACAGCCCCGCAGCCGACTCAGACCGAGCGCAGGGACCCTCACTTCTGGTGCGCTCCTTGCAGGGCACCTGGGGCCCACCTGCTGCCCACAGGAGCCCCCCCACGGGATGGGGCGGCAACTGGGGTGCACTGCCAGCTGCCCTGATGCCAGTGGCAGCTTACAGCCGTCGGAGCCGGGAGCCGCCGGGAGCCTTCTGCCCCAGGGATCTGCCCACTCCCCCTTTGAAGCCATCCGGGTCGGTGCTGGCACGACATCCCCCGGAGGTGCCTTCCGTAGTTAACTCTGCGCTGGTCAAGTTGCTGCCCATGTCTTGTATCCTCTACAGCCAAGTGCCAGGATGTGCATCTGTCCAGTCAGAAGGAGCGGGGCTGCTTTCCTCCCATCCATCCATGCAGGGCTTTCACTCTCCTTGGAGCAGGCCATGGCCATTTCTGACCACCCTAACCCCAACCCCAACCCCAACCCAACCCCCCCATCCCACTAACTGCCTCTTGTCACCGGCTTGTGCTCACACCTTCACTCCTGCCTCTCAACACTTGCATGCATCTTGTGAGTTTGCAGTGGGTCTGCGTGTGAGTTTGCAGAGTGCCTGGCCTGCCACTGGGGCTGCGGGCGCACGAGGGGCTCCCCAGGCTGCTCCGGCTGCATGGGCGCTCTTGGAGCAGTGCCCAGTGGGGCTTGCTGGCACCGGGGGCTCCTGTGGGGAGCTGCTGCAGAGGAGACTTCTGAGTTGCAGCAAGGGCCCTGCTCGCTTGAAGCCTGGGTGGCCTGCGTGAGCTGGCAGATGCGCGCCCTCCAGCAAGCACATAGCCAGCCAGGGTGGGGGCTGAGGTGGGGCACAGGGGGGCGTGTGGGGACTCGTTTTCTGGCTCCAAGGCATGCGCCTTCCTCTGCATCCACCTGGAATGATGAGGAGGGGATGACCGAGGGCCGTGTGGGAAGGACAGGGCCGTTCCTGTCCCAGGCGTGGAGTTCTCTGCATGGGTCGCTGTCGCAGGAGCACCACTGCTCAGTGGGGGCTTGATGGCCCTCTCCACCCTCCACAATTTGCATGATCCATAAAGCAGGAATTGGTGCCGCCTCAGTGTTTTCTGTTCCAGCTTCTGTGGCCCGCGATGGTTGTTAGGGCTGATGGGAGTTGTGGGTTGAAACATGCAGTGGGGCAGCTTGCCTGGCCCTGACGTGCGAGAACGTCCTCCGTGCGACGTGGGGTGCAGGCCGTGGGCAGTGCAGAAGACGGGGCGGAGGAGGCACCACCTCTGCTCCCCGGGGACCAGTGCCGTGGAGGGTGCACGTGGGTGCAGGGCGGGGAGGGCCTCTGGGGGAACCGGAGGGCGAACGGAGTGCGAGGCTGCGTCTCCACCTGCTTCCCCAGCCGACATTTGCGACGAAGTGGCCCAGTACCTGGACCAGCTCCTGCAGAGCACGGCCCCCAGGAGCAAGCTCCCGCCTGTTGCGCAGCAGGGGGGGCTGCAGCGCTTCCGCGCCGCCGTGCACACCGCCCAGGACCTCGTGTCGCTGGTGTCCAAGGCCAAGGAGCTGCATGTCGAGAGTGAGTCGAGCCCCTCCTGCCCGCAGGCTCCCCCACGCCTCCTCGGGCCAGGACCCGCTCGGGCCTGGGCCTGGGCCTGGCCCCCGGCACAGCCGATGCCTCCCGCCTCCCTCAGCCTCCCTGAGGAGAGGGGGCTTGTGGGCCCGTGGCAGCCGCGAGCCTGGCCCCGGAGACCCCCAGCTGGGCGAGCTGCAGGTCCGGGTCGAGCGGCGTCACGGCTCACGGCACTCCCTGCCTCCTGTGTTGCCCACCTGTCCTGCAGATATCAGCATGTACATCCCCTCCAAGCTTCTCCAGGACTTCCAGTCATCCGTTAACCTGCTGGGCTCGGCGCAAAAGCCAGAGCCCAAGGTGAGCTTCCTGGGCGGCTTCTGGTCACTCAGCCCTGCAGCCCTGGCTTGAGTTGGCGTCCCTGCGGCTCCTTCCCCCCACGAGGCCTGCAGGGCGCAGCTCAGCGGGAGAGGAATGCCAGGACATGGACGCAAATGCCACTCTCCCAACCCCGCCTGCCCCCCTTTTCCTCAGAAGCCGTCCATCCCTGCTGATCTGAACCTCCCCAAGGACGCAGACGGCAACGTGGACTGCCAGGCCTTGGTGGAACAGCTGCGCCAGTGCCAGACCCTGCAGGATCAGGCCAACCACCTCTACATGCTCCACATGCTCAAGTAGGGGGGCGGGGGTCCTTCTCTCGCTCGTTTGATGCGACCCCTGCAGGAGTCCCACGGAGATGGGGGGGGCTTGTCTCGGCTCCGGTTAGCGGGCTGGCGCCCCCACCTTACCTTCCACATCTGAGGGGCCGGTAATTAGGGTTGCCCTGGTCCCTCTGGGGGCAGAGGAAGGCGGGAGCCTTTCCAGTAGTCTGGAGATCTTGGAGCAAAACTGAAATGGCGGATGGGTGGTCACTGGAGGCCAGCGTGGTCCCTGCACACCTGCAGTCCCGAGGGTTTTGGGCACCAGCTCTCCGGATGGTAGGCATGGCCTAGTGCTGGACTCTTGTCAGCCCCGGCCAGAATGGCCAGTAGTCAGGGACTGTGGGAGCTGTAGTCCAGCTCCATCTGAAGGATCGAGGCCCCACAGCCCAGCCTCCCAGGTTGCAGCTCCTGCTGATCTGTTGCCGTGGGTCTTGTGGCCGGGGCCTCCTGGGTGGCACCAGTTACTCTGGCCATGCCGGCAGCACAGAGATGGCTGCCATCCCGGAAGTGGCAGCCGGAAGAACACCTGGGGTGGGCCAAGCAATGGGGGGAACATCAGGAAGCGGGGAGCCCTCGGTTGCCCTGAGGCCCTGGCTGGACCAGAGCTGCAGGGCACCTGTGCGCCCGCCCTGACGGCAGCTCTGCTCCTCAGGGGGCCTGACTGGGACACAGAGCTGTATGGCGAACCAGGTGCCACAGTCCACAGTCTCCTCCTGGAACTCTACAGCAAAGTTGGGGCGACACGCCAGTGGGCCTTGATCCGCTACCTCTCCGGCATCCTGAAGAAGAAGGTGGAAGTGCTTGATGAGGTACGCCTCCTCCCGGGGGGACGCAGCTGCCTCTCTCCTGCTCTTGCAAGGGCTCAGCGCTACCCCCGGAGGGCTGGCTCCGGAGCACGAGTGATGTGGGCCTTACAGAGCCAGTCCTGATCCCTCTGGTCCTCTCCTCCCTGGGCGGCAGGCAAGGGTCCTTCTGAGCCCTCCCTGGAGATGCTGCCAGGACCCAGCCTGGACTCCTGGGTGCGCGGGGCAGGGCTTGGCCGCGGAGCTCCTAGGTGCTCCAGGCCCCTGCCCTTGAGGGTGGGCGGCCTCCAGCCAGAGGGCGTCAGATGTGGCCCTGCCCAGCTGGCTGGATCGCCTTCTTTGCAGGCCTGCACCGCCCTGCTGTCGCACCAGAAGCACCTGACCGTGGGGCTTCCCCCGGAGCCGCGAGAGAAGACCATCTCTGCGTAAGTCTCCCGTGCCGCACGTGTGTGGCCGGCGTGCGCTCACCCTCTGCCAGGCTGCTGGGCCACTGGGTGGGAGCCCGGGGCCACCTGCGGGAGCCGCGGGAGCCTGCTTTGTGGCAGGGAAGGGGCCCAGGGCAGGAGGCGGAGAACGGCGTGGCCCACGTGGGCTTCGGCATGGCCCCGAAAACTAGGAAGGCCCTCCTCCTCGCATTTCTCAAAATCTGCATGGAGGGGGCAGGAGGAGGACATACTTGTGTGTGGGGCAGCAACACCTTTGCCCCCCGGAGGGAGGGGGTGGCCCTGCAGCTGCTCTGCATCAAGCCAGGAGACCCTCCTGCTCCTGGGTAGAATACGCAACGCCCTGGGCAGAGCGGCAAAGCTGGCTGTGTGTCTGTGGCGGGTGGGCAACAGCTCCACCGCCCCGGCAGCAGCAGCGCGGCCGAGTGCGGAGCGCAGTGTCGGAGGCGCTCGTCGGCACAGGTGCCCCGTCTCTCCCCAGCCCGCTGCCGTACGAGGAGCTCATGCGCCTGATAGATGAATCCAGCGAGAAGAACATGAGTGTCTCCATCCTGACTCAGGCGAGTGCTGACGCCATTCATCTCCGGGCTGGAGCCCAGGAAGGCCAGGCCCTGACTGCCCGCTCCCTCTCCACAGGAGATCCTGGTTTACCTGGCCATGTACATCCGGACGCAGCCCAGCCTCTTTGCGGAGATGTTCCGCCTGCGCATTGGGCTCATCATTCAGGTGATGGTGACGGAGCTGGCCCACTCCCTGCATTGCTCAGGTGGGTGACAGGCAGCTGCCCCCCCCGCCGGGGTCTCTGTCATGTATGGACCCCCCTCCCAGCCCTCGGCTGCCCTTCCAGGGAGGGATCCTGCCCCTTGCCGCTGACCCCAGCAACTGGGAATGATGCCGCACTGCGGATGGTGAGGCACAAGGCCCAGTGAGCACTCGCTGCTGCACCCCCCCCGTGTGTGGGGCTGCCGTCGGCGGACTGGGGCAGGCGAGTCACTGGCGGCACGTCTGCCCTTCTTCAGCCGAGGAGGCCACGGAGAGCCTGATGAACCTCAGTCCTTCCCACATGAAGCGTCTGCTGCACCACATCCTCAGCGGCAAAGAGTTCGGAGTGGAGCGGAGCGGTGAGCGGGCGGCTTTGGGCGGTGGCGGAAGCGGGGCCTCTGGGCCTGGCCAGAAGCCCGACGCGAGGCTGTGGCCAGGGCCAGCCCCCAGGAAGCCCCCAGCTGGGCACGAGGCTGTCAGCCCCCTCTGCTGTGCCTTCCCAGCAGCAGCTTTTATGGCTACAGCCCACCCAGGAAGCCTTGTGGCTAATAGGGCAGGCTAGAAATCAAAGGGTGGGTGGGCGGGCGGGGGGGTAACCTGCAGCCCAGGCAAGTGGCTGGGCTCATAGCTAACCAGTCAGCGCCGACTGCCATCAGGCATCCAGGTTAGCTGTGGCTGCTCACCACTGATCTTCCCTCTCTGGCCATGGCAGCCCCACCTGGCTTGCCCCAACCACTGCAAGCGCTGTTCCCTGCCCCTGCTACCCTCCGGCCTGCCCTGCGATCCTTCGCTGGTGGGAGATGCCCCCAGACAGGAACTTGGAGCTCCCGTTCAGCATGGTCCCGTGAACTGCTGCCGAGAGGCTCTCGCCCACTTGCCACTTTCATGGGTGCGGCTGGGCCCTGGGACCACCTCAGGAACCGAACGCGGCCCTTGGCTGCCTGGAAACGGGCCTGCGGATGAGGCTTTGCAACCCAAGTCCTGGGGACGAAGGCTTGGTGTGGATCGTGGTGTTTCTGACGGCCCAGAGGGAAGGACTCCTGGAGCCCAGGGCCCGGTGGGGAACTGAGTCTCTCGGAGTCCCGGCGGATGATGCCACACCAGTGCTTGCTCTCTCCCTGCAGTGCGTGCCATGGACTCAGCCCGGACACCGACCGTTTCCATCCACGAAGTTGGTCCGGTGGGCGCAACAAAATCAGAGCGCGCCGGCATCGTCAAGCTCAAGAGCGAGATCAAACAGGTAGGGCTGTTCCCGGAGGGCCCCCCTAGCCACTGTTGGCAGCTCCTCCACCCTTCCGGCAATCGCCTCTTGGGGAGCTCCCAGGTCCACCTTCTCCTCCCCTGCTGCCAGGACATGCTTTTTCTTTGTAGAAGTATAAACCGTGTTTTCCCACTGTTTTGCAAGCCAAAGGGAGCCAAGAACCTGAGCTGCTCTTTCAGAGGGCAGTCACAGGGTCCAGCTGCTTCCTTCTCTAGCGGCACAGACGTTCTGGGACGAAGGCTGGCAGAACAGACGACACAGTCCAGGTGGACGCACAGGCGGCACTGCATCTCCCCGGCCCAGCCAGCATCCAGGCCTGGGCACCGGAAGGGGCTGGGGGACGGGCTGGCTCCTCGGGCGAGGCTCACGCGCCGAGCCCCTGCTGCCCTGCTGTGAGGCATGCAGGCACTGACTGGCAGCTCCATGCGTCCAGCGAGGGCTCATCATTCTTGGGAAGGGGCTGCAGGAGCACCAAGCCTCGGTCTCACTCTCTCTCTGTCTCCTCTTTTCTCTTTCAGCAACTGGACAGACGCAGGCAGTCTGTGTCTGAGCTTAAGGTGAAATTCCCTCCTCCCTCCCTTCGTGCATCGGCTGATTGTGCCCCTGCCATGCCCCTTCCTGGCAGCCTCTGAGCCTGCATGAGCAAATGGGCACGTGACCTGGTACAGCAGCAAGCTTGCGTCCCGCCCCCGCCCCCCCCGTTGCTGCTGCCCCTCTGCACAGCTGATGATAAAAGGACGGATGTCTTGCAAACACAGCTTCTTTTCTTCCAGCCGTCCAACTGTTAGGAGGAAGGAGCTTTTTCTCAGTAGGCAAACTGGGTGGCAGAAGAGAGAGAGGCCAGGCAGGGCTCCAGACAGGCAGGCTGGGCCATGGTTGGCAAGCCGCCCTGTCCCACAGGAGCTGGGGACACCTGCAGGGGAGCATCTCCCCTTCGGGCCTGTTTGTCTCAGCACTTTTTTTCCAGCAGATTGAAGCTGCTGGCCTGCTCCAGGGGTGCGGGGGGCAAGACGCTCGGCTGGACCCCCAGGCGTAGTCTGCTCATCTGCAGCGTGCAGGGTCCGCACTGGCTCCCTTGCCGTGTTGGGCACCTCAGAAGGCCGAGGCTGGGCTGGATCTTGGCTCCCGCAGGGCCTGCAAGAGGAGGGCTCCAGCAGGGGAGCTGCAGGGCGGAGGAGAGGCCCTTCGGGGCAGCAGCGCCAAGTGGCAGCCAGGTCTTCGCCTTTACTTTACGGGACAGAGAGGGCAGAGCTCTCGCTCTGGCGCACACGGCCGCTTGTACGCACAGCAGCCTTTCTGGGATTCGCATGCACGTTTTTCAGTCCACAGCTCTCAGGGCCACGTGCCACCCGGTGAGGTGCCGCTGTCTTCGTTTTGCAGCAGGCCACTGAGGTGGCTTCCCTGTGACACCACAGCTGGCCAGGGGCCCGGAACCCCAGCACAATTCCCTGCATCATTCGTACTGCCACTCCCTTGAAAGGGTCACTTCACCCCACTGTCCGAACGCATCCCACACTCCTCACCGCCACCCCACTGCTGGCTTTTTAACGGGAGTGTCCATTAACCTTCTTCACAGCTTTGCTTTAGCAGAAGCGGAACCGTGGCTTCGTGTCCTAAACCGGCTCTAATTCTCCCGCCTTGAGAGGCCCGCCCAGCGGCCCTCAGCTGCCTCTGCTGTGGCGGCAGCCTTGCTCCTCCAGGGAGACCCTGACACATCCTCTCTCTCCTTTCCCTAGTCCGCTGGCTTGCACTCCTTGGAGGGCAGCGCAGAACCTTCCCAGGTACAAAGCATGTGCGCCAGTGGTTGGCTTCTCCTCCTGGGGAGGGCCGTGTGTGGAAACCTGGCGCTCCCAGGGTGTCCCACCGTGGGACTGGCCACACCACTGGACAGCCGCCTGAGTGGGTGGTGGAAATTGGTGACCTGCTGCAGCAGAGGGGAGAACCCGGGGGCCTTCTTGGCCCTTCCGCCCCCACGCATCCGTGATGTTGTAAGGCTCCTCTCCCCTCAGTTGCTCAAGCACTCCGTGCCGCCAGGAAGGGGTGCTCTGCCCTGCGCGCTGGAGGACCAGCAATCCAAGGATGGGCGCCAAGGCCAGTGGCAGCGGAGGCGGCGGCTGGACGGCGCCCTCAACCGGGTGCCCGTGGGGTTTTACCAGAAGGTCTGGAAGATCCTGCAGAAGGTGGGCACCAGAGGAGGTGCCAGATTCTAGCTCTGGCGCTGCCTGATTTGGCTGCTGGTTTTGAGCCGGCATCGTCATTACGGCCATTTCGAGCAGGACAAATGAGCAAGGCTCGCAGAATGCTCTGCAACACGAGCAAGCAAGAAGCCTGAACAGGCTGCAGTGAAAAAGGCAGTTTTCCTGTGATTCCTGAAAGAAATGACCTCTAAAAGCGTGCCTGGGGAGGGAGCAGATCCTGCTGGGGAGAGAATGTCCGTAGGTGCGAAGAGTTTTAAACTAGGCAGGCAAGCATTTGCAGAGACGGCACACGGCAGGTGACCCTGAACTGGCTTCCGCTGATGTGGGGACGGAGGCTCCTTCTGCCCAGTGGCTGGGAATGCCTGAGTGGCCTGAGCCGCAAATTCCCGGCTTTAGGGACATTCCCGGAAACGTGCCGGGTGGTGCGCATGGCGCCCACGGCTGTGTTGTCGGGCCTCTCCAGTCTGGCCTGGATCTGACCACCCTCCTTTCTGCTCCTGCTTTCCAGTGCCACGGACTCTCCATCGACGGCTTTGTTCTTCCTTCTTCAACAACCAGAGAGGCAAGTGTTGCAACTTCTACTCTCCCCTTTAAGGGCGGGTGGGATTTCTTTCCATATCGCCAGGCTGGCAGAGTGTCAAGACCCCTGTCCTCTGCGGCACTCCTTGCCTTGGGAAGAGGCGCTGGCGGTGTTGATGGCGGTCAGAGGAACGGCCACCAGAGGCCTCTGTGCATATCTGCCCGCATGACATCTATTCTCTATAAATTACACGGGTTGCCAGTTGAAGTCCTGGTCCACTTTAAAGTGCTTGTTTTAACATACAAAGCCCAAAATGGCTTCTGACCTGGTTACTTGAAGAGCTACCTTTTTCCATGGGCTCTTACCCACCCACTGAGATCTGGGCATGAGGTCCCTCTGAGAGAGCCGTCCCTAAAGGTAGTAAAAGGGATGGCGATTAGAGGAAGGGCCTTCACAGTGGCTGCCCTTCCATGCTCATTTCGGTGCCAGGTGAAAACTGTCCCTCTCTTGCAACCTGATTTTACCACCTGATTATAAGAACTTCCTCTGCTACCAGCAGCTTTCCCCTGCTCCTTCCTGGGGTTTTTTTTTTTTAATGTTGTTAACTGCTTAGAGGGCCCTGTCGGCTGTTTGGCATCTTATAAAGTTGAAAATAAACAAAGTCTCCCAGGCAGAAGGGAAGCCAGGCTGAGCCTTGGCCCAGGGAGACTGCCTGACCGTGGGACTCCCTTTCTTCTTGCCTCCTTGGCTCCCCATGCTAGGCCTTCCAAGAGTCGGCACTACCTTAAAAAAAATATATTGCTTTATGTCTTAACGTTCGTGTATTATCAGCCACTTTGGATGCCCGGTGCTGGGCAGAATGCAAACTCTTAATCGAATAACTGGCTTGCCCCTTCCGCCACAGATGACTCCAGGGGAGATCAAGTTTGCCGTCCATGTGGAGTCTGTTCTCAACAGGGTCCCTCAGCCAGAGTACAGGCAGCTCTTTGTGGAGGCCATCCTGGTCCTGACGCTGCTGACGGACGTGGACGTGCGCAGCATCGGTGGCCTCATCGCAGTGGATAAGATCGTGCACATTGCGAACAGCCTCTTCTGTGAGGAGCAGGTACGGGAGACGCCCTCCCCGGGCTCGGCAGGCGAGCGCAGCAAGCGCAGGCTCGCAGGGGGCGCACGTGGGGAGGGCGAACGCTCGCAGAACGTTTCACTGCGCTGCACGGCGCTCCACAGCTTTCCGCTGCTCCTCCTCCTGCTCTGCTTGATGAGCAAAGCTGAGGTGAGAGCTGAATGTGTCAGACCTCGCACAGCAGATGGTGGGTGCCCGGCAAATGCAGAGGGGAACTGCCTGCCTGCCTGCCTGCCTGCCTGCAGGCTTTGCTCGCAGAACAGCAGCGCTGTGAGATGTCGGTGGGACGCATGGTGGGAGCAGAAGCCCTGGCCCGGAATCCTGGCCCTCGGCAATACCTTCCCACCTTTTTCTCTGCGGGAAACAGAAAATCCTGGGCGCCGATGACAACATGCTGGAGCAGGACGTGGCCACGGGCATCTGCACGCTGCTCTACGACAGCGCCCCCAGTGGCAGGTTTGGCACCATGACCTACCTCTCCAAAGCCGTGGTCACCTACCTGCAGGAGTTCCTTCCCAGCAGTGGCTGCACCATGCAGTAAGCAGGCCTGGGTGTCCCAGAACGAGCCTGCAGAACAGCATCGAGCCTGAAGGCCAGCCTTCGGCCGCCTCACCAGCAGGCGGGGGCCACTCCGCCCACCTCACCCCGGCAAATCCCGCAGGAACTGAACTCTTTTGGCGTGGCACTCCGGGAATGAGCACTGTGGAGCAAGTCGGCAGCTGAAGGCGGATCCTTCCAGGTGCTGCAGGAAGGCAACGGGCATCTTTGCACGGACAGGAGAGTTGCTCACGGACACAACCCTTTCATACCCGGAGGAAGTTCGGCACTTCTCGGGCACGGAGCCTCACGAAGCCCAGGAACGGCAGCCATTTGTGCTGTTTCGTACAGTTGCAAAGGGGGTCAAGGGCCTCTCCCACTCCCCTTGTCTGCCTTTGTGGGTGCGCCTTCCTTCATCAGTTCCAGATTTCATCACCGTGTGGGGTGTGCTCTCCATGGTGGCACTTTTTGGCCTGTGGCTGTGTGATTTTAGGGAAGGCAGGCAGTGGCCATGTTTGGAGGCTTTCCCTTCTCTGAAGTCCCTCCAGGAGAAACACTCCGAGTGCCTTTTAATGTCGTGTGCATTTAAAGTATCACCAGGTGACTGCTCCCTCCTGCTCGATGCAAAACAGATGCTTGCGCTGCCTCAGGCAAGGCCTCTGGGCCTTTGGCCGCCTCCATTCAGGAGTCAGTCTCAACTAGATGAGGCTGCAGACCTCGCCAGTAAAAGCCCTCCGATAGCAGCAGCAGCAGCCTTTGCCACACTGCGGCTTCTTCAGAAGACTGTCAGCAGCAGGTGCTCCTTGGTCAAAGGGTGTGGAGCCTTCCTCCTTGTTGCTGGACTGGAGCTTGTTCCCCAAACTGGAGACTGGGAATGCATCAGCTCTGTAACTAGGCTTGGCTTCCGTCGCCAGCCGCTGCTTTTGGAGAAGTTGCTGGTGGGCCTGAGGTAGACCTGCTGCACCAGAAGTGTCTCGAGTGACAAGCTCCATGGGATGGGTAATAGGATGCAGTGAGAGCAGAGCCTCCTGGCTGCGGGGGAAGCAATGGATGTTTTGGAAAGGCGTGGAAAGGGCCTGCAGGCGGTGGAGCATGGGCGAGAGAGAGCCTTTCTTGCCAAATGTTTAAACTGTAGAAGTGGCTCTCCAGCGAAGGAGGAGCTGCAACTTTGGGAAAGTTTGAGGCTTAGTTCCTGCTTTAGAGGAAGATCCCTGGCACTCCAGGGGAGAGGTGAGCTGCTGAGAGACAACAGGACATCAGGTTCAGTCCTTTGCTATCAACAGGATCTCTCCCTATTTTCTTCGAATCTCCTCCATTACTCATGCTTCTTTTGCTTAACTTGTGCCAATTTCTTTTCAGTGTGGACAGGAGGGCATCCCAGCAGGTCCTGAACTAGAGTGCAACAATGGCATGTGTTTCCAGCCAATTTTACAGCACGGGGCTTGGGCTCGCTCTTGTAATGCACTTTTGTGATCATTTGCCAACATGATCAATTGCACTGTTACTTTTTTTTCTTCAACAAGGGCTCTTGAGCAATACAACTTTTGGTAAGAAAAGAGCTTGATTTATGGGCCTTTGTGTGTGTGATGTTGGATGCAAACTACAGTTCAGCCTTGGTTCTCCCTGCCCCCACAAACTATTCAAAATGCTGCTCTTTACCACTGAGTATGTTTTGAAAATTGAATGCCTGGAATAAAACTTATGTATCCATTGGGCTGTTTGTGTTGGTCTTCGTTTACCTCTGGTGTCCAGAGAAGAGCCAGAACTAGGAAGCCACTGAACCCAAGCATTGATCATTTCAAAAACTAGCAGCCTCAAGCCTACAGCACCATTTTTGATGTGTTTTATATTTGATTAGCAAATGAAAAGCCTCGCTGAGGTGGCTGCTTGCTCATCCGGAACAAAACCACTCATTCACAGGACGGTTCGTTGGAACCCTAATGCCTACAGAAATACAAAAATATTTTAGGAAAAAGCCTTAAGGTCAGGAAATCGAAAATGGCCGGTGAGGGACTGCATCGGTTCTGTGGCCACAGACTGCGGGTTTGAAGGAACATAAAAGCAGGGGGGGGGGGGTCTGGACAGGGCCCTGCTTGCAACGGCGCCAGGCACGCGCGAGCAGCCCGGCCGGGTCCCCGCAGGCCCATCCAGTCCCGCGCTCCACGCACGGGGGCAAACCGGCCGCCCCCGGCGCCCCTCCCGCCGGCGGGGTGCGAGGCCTCCGCAGCCGCTGCTCGCCCGCGTTCGTCCTCGGCGGCTGCGGGCGCCACGGCACCCTCCGCGTGGTTCTGAGGCGAGCCGTTCCCGGCGAGGGCCCTGGCCCGCTCGTGCGGCTTCCGTGCAGGGACCCTCTGCACATGCTCAGGGGCTCCGTTCTCTGCGCCACCCCCAAACACTTCCGGGGGGGAGTGGAGCCGTCCTCTCGCTTGCTCGCTGACGGAAGAACTACGCCTCCCGGCAGGCCGCGCGGCAGGAAGTCCGTCCGCGGAGGGGCCCGGGCGGCAACGGGCGCTGCACTCGCCGGACCGCTGCGGCTCACCCCCGGAGCGCCCATGGCCCAGCCGCCGCCGCCGGTCTACGTGTACAGCGCCGAGTACGTGGCGCGGTGCGACGCCCTCTGCAAAGTGCCGCGACGGGTGTGTGGCCGGGCCGGGGGGCCGAGGTCGCTGCCGCCCGCGCTCCGCCGCGAGCTGGACGGGCCGCCGGCGGAGAGGGGCCGGCGGGGCGGAGGGGCTGCTCCGCGGTGGCCCCGCGCCTTTCCCCGGCCGCCCCTCTGCTGTGCTCGGCCCCGCGCCCCCAGCCGCGCTCTTCGCCCAGTCCCTTCTTGCGGGGCGCCCGGGGGCCGCCTCGTGAAGCCAGGCTGCCGGCGGCGGCGCCCGTGCTGGCCCTGGAGCGCCCACGCCAGGCCGGGCGCCCTGCGGAGCTGCGGGGCGGCGGGCGAGGGCGGGGGGGCGGGGGGGGCCCTGGCCGGGCGGGCCTCGTTCTGGGCGGGCGAGAGCGCGCGCAGGTGGAAGTGGCCAGAGGGGCGGGCGGGCGGGCGGCGAGGCGCATTGCGGGGAGCTCCGGATGAGCAAACGGGAGCGAATTTGTGCTCAGGGTGGGCCTTTCCACGGAGCGAGTGCTCTGGAGCCGGCCGCACCCCCGATTCGGGATGGGCCCGCTGCCCAAAGAGGGTGACTCCCCCAAAGCGGCTGAAGCCGATGGTGCCGCACTCATGTTCTCTTCCTGTGCTGCTCTCTCTGCTGCAGGCAAGCATGGTGCATTCGCTGATCACGGCCTACTCGCTGCTGGACCATATGAGGTAGGCAGAAGGGGCACCGTGGGAGTCTGTGAGCTCCAGAGGGTCGGCTGCTGTGCGCCCATTCCTCTGGAGCTTTGCCCAAGGCTGCCGGAGCTTTCTGCTTACTCCCAGGGAGTTCTGGGGGCAGCGTTTACATGTAGCTCATGCACTTTGTGCTAAGAGAAGGCCTACTTCTCTTTCCAGCAGCATAAGGACTGTCATGTTTCTCTTTACTTCTCAGCCTGCCCAGCATCTTGAACGACCGTTGCTTCCTCTCTCCCAAATCCAAGGCATAACCTGATACCTGTGATGCCTAGTTCTTTCAGCCTGCAGTCTCCATTTTGAGGCTGATCTTTAGTTTTCATGGTCACAACAGACCAAGCTCTGGGACTTTTCCATTTCTCTCTCTGGCCTGAGCAAGAGTTCTGGAGAACTCAAAAGCTTGCACACTCTTTTGTGCCAGTTTGGTTGGCCCAGAATGGATTCTGGATTTTCCTCCCCTCTCAGACCAGTTCAGATAGCTTCTTGTGTTACATACTGTCTTCAAAGCCTCCTCTTTCTTCAGAACTGCTTTCAGCAGAAGCGTGTCGACATTCTTGCCATTAGAAGTCAAGGCAGGGAGGCTTCGTTTGCGTGCAGGGGATGCTTGCACCGTGTCCCTGTGTGATCCAGCGCAGGCACAGCGAGAGCTGCAGTTCCTGCCCCAGGATCTGCCGTGCACTGTTTGCCCTCACTGGGAAACCTGCTCTCTCCTCCTCACGGTGTTTGTGACATTGTGCTCCCTGCATGGGCTGATCCCGACCCAGCCCTGTTCTTGGCCTTCCCAGGGTGGTAAAGCCCAAAGTGGCTTCCATGGAGGAGATGGCGAGCTTCCACACGGACGCCTACTTGCAGCATCTGCAGAAAGTCAGCAGCGACGGCGATGACGACCACCCAGAATCTGCAGAATACGGGCTAGGTGAGCCGACTGCAACTTGGGCTTTTTTTGAGGGAGACCCACACTGAATGCACAGCCCGTGGAGAGCCTGCAAGTGCAGGGAGCGGAGATGGGCTCCTGGCACGAGAGGACCCCCCCACCAGCATCCGGGCCTCCTCCTTGCGCCTCTACAGCCCATGCTCTTTCTAGGTTACGACTGCCCGGCCACGGAAGGGATCTTCGACTACGCCGCTGCCGTCGGAGGGGCCACCATCACGGCGGCCCAGTCCCTGGTGGAGGGAGAATGCAGAGTGGCCATCAACTGGCCCGGGGGCTGGCACCACGCAAAGAAGTAAGGAGGCCGCGGCCCTGCCCGGCACCTGCCGCATCCCGCCTCCTCCGTCACCGCCCCCTTCGCCTGTGCAGGGAAGGAGACCCAGCTGCAGTGACAGGGAGGCCGCAGGAGTGTTTGCCAGGGGGCCCTGGGGCACGCAAGGGGGGTGTGCAGGGCTTGCCCGCCGCAGGCGTGACTGGGCCCTTTGGCCCAGGTGACCTGTGTGTGAACTCCAGCAGGCGGGCAGGGGCAGCCTTTCCACACCCTCAGGTGCTGGCTTGTGACGGGCTTGTTCTTCTAACCTGCTTGAAAGCAGCAGCTCAGGCCTGGGGGCTGGATCCCTCCCTCCCAGGGTTCCCCCGGGGGCCCGCTTCCTTTTCCCCAGTGGTTCCCCAGCCTTCTCACAACACCCCAGCCTCCAGTTCCAGAAGGCTTGAAACGCCTCTCCAAAGGCTTCACGAGCGACCTTCTGCCGAGATTGGCTGGCCTCTTGGCACTGCCTCTTCTCCGAAAGGAAAGGTGGCCCTTGGGAGCAAGACGGCTTCCTCTCCCACCTGCTTCTTTACAAAATCTGCCTTCTCTCCACTGGAAGCGGTGCAGGGCTTGGCACTTTTGGCAAACCGCGGGCTCACTGACAGCGTAGTCTTCACTTGGCCGCTTCCCAAGCGCCACGCTTGACCAGGAGTCCTTATTTACAGAGACGAAGCTTCTGGCTTCTGCTACGTGAACGACGCGGTCCTGGGCATTCTGCAGCTGCGACGGAAGTTTGACCGTGTCCTCTACGTTGACTTGGACCTGCACCACGGGGATGGTAAGAAGCCCTGCACACACGGGAGCACGCCGTGCCTTGCGGTGGCTGCAGCCATCAGTCCTCCCAGAGTGGAGCCGCTCGCGGCCTTGGACCAGGGGGGCTTCCTGTGCTGCCTCGCCGTGGCTCTGGCGAGTCTCTGGGCTGCAGCTGCGCAGGGCATGTGCCTAAGCCTCGGGGCAGGCCCTGCAGCTGCGGGACGGCGGCGAGGCGTTGCCTGGCGCCCTGGGATGGGAGGTGACGGCAGCAGCCGCTCTCCCGGCCCTCACGGCTCTTCGCTGCCAGTTCACGCAGTTCTTGCTGTTTCGCGGGGACACAAGGTTGCCCTCCCCAGCCTCGCGTTGCCTCTGATTCGGGCCAGGCTTCAGGCTGGCTTCCTCTTGGCCAGAGGACAGAGGCCTGCATTGGTTCCACTCAGCTCCCTTCCTGGCTTTTGGCATGAATGTCACACCGGGAGTTGGCGGCCTTCAGGCGTGTGGGGCCTATGCCGGCTTCCTCCACCGCAGATCCCGAGATTCACCATGCAGAGCCACGTGCAAAGTGGTGGCTTAGAAAACGGGGGGGCATGAAAGGCAGCACTGATTGCCCCCCTACCTGGAACTTGTGTGCAGGCAGTAACTGCCCTCGTCTCCCCTTGGTCCCCCCCCACAAGTTTTCTTTGCTTCGGTCGGCTGTTTGTGGGCAGAAAAATTGCAACTTTTAAGTAATTTGGAGACTGACTCTACTGGAAATCACCCAGCGCTCCTGGCAGATCCTGATCCTGGCTTCCATGCGTGGCTAATGCCAGTGGGGTATACAGTGAAGCCTTTGTCTCTTCCTCTTGTGCCATCCTCAGGTGTAGAAGACGCCTTCAGCTTCACCTCCAAAGTCATGACCGTGTCTCTGCATAAGTTTTCACCAGGGTTTTTTCCAGGCAAGTTGTCAGTTTACAGAGTTGAATTCTGCTCACGTTAGGTCTAGTCATGGTTTCTGGTGTCACCACTGACCAGTTTCCTTTCCCACCAAGTCTCTGAACTCCTCTTCTCCATGCAAGCAAGGAAGCGAGGCCAGGAGCCCCTAGAGCAGAGATGGGCAGTTTGTGGCCAGTCAGGTGCTTTGGCCTGCAAGTCCCATGATCCTTACAGTTTGCTGTACTAGCTGGGGCTTATGGGAGTTGTAGGCCAAATGCTCTGGGTGGGGGACACAAATTGCCCACACATTCCCAGGAGCTTTGGTGGCGTTCTTGTTACTTTCCTTCTGGCAGTGACTGCCGGAGGCTTCCTCTTCCTCCCTGAAGGGGCAGTAGGAGCCGTGGGCCTCTTCGTTTGATTCCGTGTTCTCCCATGGATCACGTGTCCCTCTTGGGTTTCCCCTGTAGTCCTTTGGAAATGGGTGTGTGGGAGCAGCGGAGGGGCAGAGTGCACAAAAGGAATGGTTTAGTGGCCCAGTGTGTTTGTAAATCATTCTTCCTAAGGAAGAGAACAAATTAACATTAACACTATGTATTAATGCAATATAATTGATACTAAAATGTAGGTAAAAGTTACCTACAGCATTTATTAAATGCATGTATTATTAAAAAGGAAAGAGGCAATTGATTTTGTGGCCTTTTCCCTTTTTAATCACATAGTAATTCCTGCAGAGGTTTTAGTGCCAATGACATGATGCCGTTGCTTAATTTCCCCCGAGGAGGAACATCGTCAAAGTGCGCTGGATCGTCATTTCGATGGGCCCTTTCCCCTTTCTCCCACCTCAGTGTAATGCGCACACCTTGTGCTGCAAATATTTGAAGACTTGGTTGACTTGGCCGGATTGGTCCAGGGGAGGAGCGGCCCTGTGGCCCTCGGCTGTTCTGCGCAGGATGGCCGTGCCCTCCAGACTCTGGGGCGGGGTGGGGGGGCACCCCCCCACCTTGCACCTGAGAGGGGTCAGCCGGCAAGGGGCTGTGCTGACGCGAGGTGGACGCCGGGTGCGGTGGGCGCTTGGCCGTGTCTGCTGGATGCCCGGGCGCACCTCCTGTGCTGGGGCCTGTTCCACAGGCCTCGGGGCAGGCCTGGCCAGGCCTGGGCCGCTGACGGGCGAGCCGCAGTGGCGCTCCCGGGGCCCCGCAGGCCATGAAGCACCCTCCCTGCCTGGGGGCTGCAATGTTCTCTTTTGCCTCCTGCTCAGGGACAGGAGATGTGACAGACGTGGGACTGGGGAAAGGACGCTACTACAGTGTCAATGTGCCTATCCAGGATGGCATTCAGGACGAGAAATACTTCCAGATCTGCGAGACGTAAGGCCTGCTGCTGCGGCTGGCTCTGAGCAAAGCCCCGCCTCTGGGGGGGGAGGTTGTGCTGCTCCGGCTTTCCCTCTTCTGCCGTCTCCAGAGAAGCTGGCCGAGCCGGGCAGCACCGGACTGGGGGCCTCCTCGGTCAGCCTTCTTTTCTCACAGCAGCCAACCAGAGGGCGGCCCGGAGGTGGGGCTGCCTGCAGGGGCACAGGGCCCACAGGCAGTGCAGCCAGTCCACGGCCTCCTTCCCCGTCCCCACTGGGCCTGCCGCCTCCTCTGCTTGCTCGGGCTCACCCACTGCCCCATGGGCAGCAGCCAGCTGGGCTCCATGGGCTTTGACGGCGCCATTTCCCCAGGCTAGCCTCTAGAACATGGCCAGCCGTCCGGGGGGACGGGGCTGCAGTGCACAGCGGCCCCTTGCCTCCCCGCTGGCCTCTGGGCATCCAGGGGGCTTTTTGCTGCAGCCACTTCGCTCTGGAGTTGAGGCTCAAGTGGCAGAGGCCCTTGGCCCTCCAGGGCAGGGCCTGCGAGCGGGCGGGGTGTCCCCGCACCCTGCCCAGGCGTCCCTTGCTCTGGATGGAGCCCAAGCCCTTCCGGCGGTGGCAGCTCCGGCGCTGGCTGGGCCGAGGAGAGGAAGGCCCGGGCAGGGGCCGAGGGGCCGTGGCAGCTCTGCGCCACGCAGCGTCCTGGTGCGCTGCTCTGCCGCAAGGGGGCTTCCCTTCCCCGCACTGTCCCGGCAGGGTGCTCAAGGAGATCTACGCGGCATTCAGCCCCGATGCCATCGTGCTGCAGCTGGGAGCCGACACGATCGCCGGCGACCCCATGTGCTCCTTCAACATGACCCCCGAGGGGATTGGCAAGTGCCTGAGCTACGTGCTACAGTGGCAGCTGCCGACACTCATCCTCGGAGGAGGTGAGCGAGCGAGAGTGGAGGGGCTGAGAGCGCCGGGGGGGTCGCGGAGGCCTCTGCCGCGAGGGCATGGGAAGTCCACTTCTGTGGGCCCCACTCCAACCCAGAGGGCTTCTGGATGGAGGGCTCCAAGTGCCAGCAGTGGGCGGCCACGATGCGCTGCTCCTTCTCTGGGGGTGGAAGAAGGGGCGGGAAAGTTCAGGAGGGCTGGAGGGGGGGAGGAAACAGTGTCGGTCCCCTCAAAAGTCCAATTTGCTGTTTAGTTGTGGATGCTGCAAAAATGCCTTTCGGGTGACCCAGAGAGGGCTTTGCTTGCAAAGTTCCCCCTAGTCCCTCTCCGTTTCCTTCTCTCTCTCTTCTTCTCAACCCGGTGCTTGTTGGCGCCTGGCGACAGGGGGCTACCATCTTGCCAACACGGCTCGTTGTTGGACATACTTGACTGGCATCATTCTAGGGAGAACTTTGTCCTCTGAGATTCCAGATCATGAGGTAAGGCTCCAGGAGGCCTTTCTGTGAGCCCGGTCCGTTTGGCCTGGCTGGCTAGTCCCACGTTGCCGAGAGAGCTTGGCGAGCGGCTCCGCTTGTTCTCCCTGCTCCTGAGGCAGACTGCCTCTTCTGGGACAGTCCTCCTCCGATTGCAAAGAATGAGGAGTGTGAGGAATGGAGCCAGCTCGTTGCAGAAGCAAAGGCAGAGATGCTTTCTGAGCAGGCGCCCTGCCTGCTTGATGCTGTGCAGTAGTGGGAACGCCTGGCCTGGCTTCACCGTGCTTGTGCTCTCACTTTGCTAGGCAGTCTGTCTCCCTCCCTTTTCTCCCTTGGCCCCTCAGTCTTTAATAGGGGGGTAATAATTCTGGGATACCTTACCGGAATTTTTTGGTGACGATCAAGGCACTCCACCTGAAATGCTTTGAGCCACTCCAAAGCCATCTCAGAATGCTAAGCCTGTCCATCGACCAAACTAAATGTGCCCCCTGGTTTCACGTGCCCATTCAGTGCTGTCATCCGCATCCTCCCCATCTCGTCGTGCAGTTCCTCCCTCGAGCACTGAATACTGGAGCGAAAGTTCAGGACAGTTCTTCCCCCATAATTGCCTGCATGCTCCACACCCCCCTTCCCAAAGTGGAGAGGAAAATTCGGGAGGCGTGGTCTGCCCTGAAGGTTCAGGCATTAGGCTGGCCCAAGCGGAGGCAGGAAGCTGAACCAACCGTTGCTCGCTTGAGCCTCAGTCTGTGCCAGGCACATCCCTCCCCAGCCTCGCGCAACTGTCCTGGGGGGCAGGGCCTGTGCGACAGCTGGGGCTCCCCAGCGGCAAAAGCCCCAGGGAGTTGCTTCTTTCCCAGGGTGCGGGGAGAGTAATTTGTCTGAGGAACCAGCCGCTTACTTGCAGCAGGGGGCAGGTGGGGGGCCCAGGGTGCTGGAGCAACTCCCCCTGCCCCAAGACCTCCACGTGTGACTTGGCCCTCTCTTGCCTGGAGCTTGTCCTTCCCCTCTTTGCAGTTCTTTACACACTATGGCCCTGACTATGTCCTGGAAATCACCCCAAGCTGCCGGCCAGACCGCAATGAGCCCCAGAGAATCCAGGAGATCCTCCGCCACGTGAAGGGTGAGTCCTCTGACCGCCCCCCCAGCCCAGCCCACCTTGCAGAAAGGGCGCCAGAGGCCGAGAATCTCTCCAGGCTGCTGCTGCTGCTTCCCCAGCTACGAGGAGAAGCGGCATGAGGCTGCTCCTCACATCCCTCACCCGGAAAAGCTGCGGAGGAGCTTCCCTCCAAGTGCCAGGCATCTCCTGGCAAGCAGTCGCACGTCGGTGCCCCCGCAGCCATGTGCATCCTCGCCAGCATGTGCCCCGGAGGCCTCGGGAGCGTCCACCGTGGTGCGTGCGCAGTGGCCGGAAGCCCTGCTTGGCGTGTGCTGCCTTGTGCTCCCTTCTTTTGTGGTTCCATATGTTGCAAGCTACCCTGAGAGTTTTCTTGGCTGAGGGGCAGGATAGCGAGCAAGTGAGCGAGCGAGCAACCAAGCCAAGGAGGAAGGCTGCTGCCGCCGCTCCTGGTCACACACTGGGCAGAGGCTGAGCAGGTGAAGCTCCCCTCCGCCTGCGCGGGGAGGCAGCGGGCTTCTGTGACAGTCGCTCTCTTGACAGGGAACCTGAAGTACGTGGTGTAGGAGGGGAGGACTGCTCAGTTGTTTGACCCACCTGACCTCCCCGGGACAGAGCTGTCAGTTGCCGCTGGGATTCCGGAAGAGAACCGCTCAGGACCTCTCACGGCGTTGCCAGCCCAGCTGCCCCCCCCCCGGTGACCCCCGAGTCTGCCGACCAGCCCACTCCCAGCATTGCCTCCCACCCACTTTTCTAACAGGCCGATCCATGGGCTGGGAGGGAGGCCGGATTTGGCACAGCATCACTAGCAAGGAGAGAGCATTTCCTGTTGCTACATCGGTGCTTTGGTTTTCTAGCTGTTTGGTTACTTGTGGGGACCATGGTGACAGCTCTCACCCAGTGGACAGAAGGCCATGAGCACCCTGGACACTGGGGGGGGAGGGGCAGAGGGCACCTTTTTGTACTGGTTGAAACCACATCTGGAGGAACATTGCCCGTGAAAACTGTTTGCCTTGCAAATAAAGTCTTTGATATATTTGCTGCTTGGTTCTGCATGTGGTCCTTGGCCATCTCCCACTGCTCGTCTCGATGTTACTGGCCTGGCTTGATTCAGTTCTGCCTTTTCCCCGGAGCTCTTCTGCTCTCGCTGCAGCTCTGTTTCCAGTCGTGGGCCCCTTAGTTTCCTCAGCAAGCTGTCCCGGGAAGACACCTTTAAGCGGCGCAGTAAATGCTCAGTCTCAGAAATCAGCAGCCTCGCCCTGGCGAGACCAATTCTTATGCTGGCCTTTCAGGCCCCCCGGGACCAGGGCAGGACTTCTGATGAAAGCGGGCACCCACCCCCACAGCCTGCCTTTTTAAGGATATGAGCAGCAGCCAGGTGGGGCGGGGTCAATCACAGAAAGGCGAGGTGCAAGTGCCTGTGTCACACACACACGGTGTGGAAGGCCCAGGGCCTGCATTTCAGTGCACAAGCCAAAGGCACAAGTTCTGGACTGCGATCGGCTCCGCAGCAGCCCACGTGGAAGAGCAGGGCGTATCCCTGATCATTGCAGGCTGCCCACGAAGGCAGGCAGTCGGAAGCGACATTAGCAGAAGTGCAGCAGGAAGGACGCGGTGCCACGCCTCTGCCTCTTGCTTGGTCTGGGCCCATTTCTGGGCGCCATGGCCCGGATCTTCCACTGTTCAGCCTTGTGGGGTAACTCGGGGTTCTGGTATCATGTGCACTTCCGAAGTGTAAAGCGGAATTGCGTCTCCTGACCAGTGTTCGGGAGACGCCTGCTCGGGTCTCCCCAGTTCACCTCGCTGTCCCTGCCCCAGCGCTCCCATATTCTTGCCTCGTGCAGCGGCCGGCTAAACGTGCAGACTGGAAGCCGGGCACTGCGTTTGGCATGCAGGCACACTGGCCCCGACACGCAAGTTCTCCGGCGTATCAGCCCGCGCTGCCGCCATGGCTTCCCCCGGCCAAAGATGCCGAGAGCGAAGCGTGGGAGCCGGGAGCCCCGCTGCCCTGCCTCGCGCGGCCCGCCGGGACGCACATGCACCGCCGGCCGGCAGGGGGCGCCCCTGAGCCCGCCGTGACCTCGCGGAGCCGCCGTAGCGCCGCGCGGATATCCGCCGCGGAGCGCCAGCAGCGGCCCTTTCTCGGCGGAGCGCGGCCATGGTGAGTGTGTGGCGCTCGGCTCCGCTCGCCGGGATCCCTCGCCATCCGCGGCCTCGCGCCCGGCGGGGCTCCTCGGACTGTGGCGGAAGCAGCGGGGGGCGCTGCCCGGCCACGGGGCAGCCATATGGCCGCGCGCCCGCGCCTTGGGCGGCCGGCGGGCCCCGAAGCTTGCGCCCCGCCGGCGAAGCTGCGCGGGGGGCCGGGCCGGGCCGGGCCTCGGCGCTTTGGACGGTCTTCAGAGCGAGATGGGCCCTGGGGAGGGAGCGGAAGTTTCCGGCGCTGTCCCGGGACTAGAACTGGGGCCCATTCTGGGAGCCCCCCTCGCTTAGGCGACCTGCGCGAGCAGGAGGAAAGGCCGGGCGCCTCCATGGCCAGCTCCGGCCGGGCGCGGCCAGCCTCGATCGGGAGGGCTTGTTGCCCTCCTCGTGGGCGTCCGCCAGGCTCCCGGTTGGCTGCAGTGGCATCCCGGGTGCAAGCCTGGGTGTAATTTGCCTGAAGGCGCTCAGGGAAGGGATCCTGAGAACGTAAGCTCTCCGTTTCATTAGCCAAGGGTCCATCGGAAGCAGGTGGGGTTCTTGTTGGCAATGGAGGGCTTTGGATTCCCTCGGGGGAGACAAGGGTTTGGAGGAAGCAGCTGATCAAATGTGAGTCCTAGGCTTTGGGCCCTAAAAAGTCAAGTGCTCCTCCTGCCCGCCCTAGAAAGGGGGTTCCTATTAAGATTTGGGTAGGTATCGAGGCTGCCATCTAGTTAAAACCCAAACAATAAACTTGTAGGGGTCAGCTATTAGGTAACTGGAGTAGTTCTGAAGCTGGAAGCATTTGTGCTTCCCTTTTCAGCTGCCACCTGTGTGTGAGGACAGCAGGGTGGAATGCATTTTATAAATTCTGTGTTACTATGTAGGAAACATATAAGTATTAAAAATAGTGTTTTAAAAATCCAGTTTAAGGTGGGAGCTGTTTTAGTTGGTCAAAGTGATTGGCAAGTATTAGACAACTAAAATCTGGACATGATGTATATCTTACCTTTTTTGATAAGATTTCAGTGTGACCCATTGAACTTTTTTTCCTTAGGCGCGTGGACCTAAGAAGCACCTGAAGCGTGTGGCAGCTCCGAAGCACTGGATGCTGGATAAACTGACAGGAGTCTTTGTGAGTATCTTGTGTGGTGCATTTTTAAACTGTTTTGAGGACACATTGAGGATGGGTTTGCATTGCCTCCTGTGTGTGTGTGCGTGTGTGTGTGTGTTTTTTAAAGAAACCAGCAGACTCGGTGTTGATACTTAAGTGGAGTCTGGGGTTGCTTCTTGTTAGCTGCTTTCTACTTAGGGTTTTCTCTGCCTAGTTTTCTCTGAACTACTCAGTCTGAGTAATTTTTTAATCTGACTAGAAACTAATGTTGAGGCATGATGGACTTTTCTCTTGGGTCTAAGTCATATTACAAGCTATCAAGGGTCATGGGCTCTAGAGTTCATATTTTTTGTGGGAGAGTAAAAATGTGGCATGTTTCCAGTAAAAACGTGAAAGAAGGCCATGTAAAGAAACTGCTTTAGCTTTAGGTAGGATTTCTGTTGGAAAGCTACACAGTTCACAGGTGGGTGTGGTTTTGTGCTCTTGACCTATTCCTTAAAATGGGGGGGGGGGCATTTGATGTGCATAGCATGTTAAAGGATCTCCTTGAAATCTTTTGTGGATACCACAGGCTTCAGTGGAAATGGTGCCTTGACTTTGCCCTCCCGGGAAGTGAATGATGTGGGTTGCCTTCCTCTAAGTGTGTGGGGGGGTAGTCCGTGCCCATGCAGAATGCAGGGAGTAACAGCGCTGAATTTGGATAAAAAGCTGGACTGATAGATGAATGGGGCATCTTGATGGGTAAAGTGTCGCTGTTGGAGCAAGCTTGTGGGATACCCAAGTGAGTCAAGTGCGCAGGACTGTGCATTTGTGGTGTCTGGTTGGCAGCCAGTGTGGGCTGATGTTGACAAAGACAGCCCATGAAACATTCGGACACGGGTCTGCAACCTTTCTGGGCCCGTGGATATAGTTAGAATTTTGGATAGGTGCCATAGGAACTGCAGCTCCCTTTTTGCTCCCCCCCAACCCCTCAATAAATAAAATGGACACAAACTTACATTACATTTCAGTTTGAATTTGCTTTTTCATTGGGTACGGGTAAAAGATTCAGTAGAAGTAAATTAATCTTGTTACATTAAGATTGGGTCAAGCAGTATCTGTGCTTGAAGAGGCTTCACTGGGGCCCAGGAGGGGCCCATTAACTGCCTTTTAATCTTACAGTGGGATCTGTGTGAAATGGTGGCTGTACTGGGGAAGAATGGGCTCTGTTTATGACTGTCCACCATCTTTGGGTTTTTAGGCACCGCGTCCGTCAACAGGTCCCCACAAACTGAGGGAATGCCTCCCGCTCATCATCTTCCTCAGGAACAGGCTCAAGTATGCCTTGACAGGGGATGAAGTCAAGAAGATCTGCATGCAGCGTTTTATCAAGATTGATGGCAAAGTCCGTACAGATATCACCTACCCTGCCGGCTTCATGGGTGAGTGACAGCAGGTTTCTGGGCAGTTGGTGTGGAGGCCTAGAAATATCTAGCCCCCAGAATGTTGGTCCAGTTGTGGGGAGGGACTCCCTTCATGATTTTATTTGGCTGCTTGCTGACCTGAGGAACAAGGTCATAAATGGGTACTGGGGCAAATTAATGGGTACTGGGGCAAATAGACAAAAGGGTATACCGGTAGGAGGAGGCCCATTGCAGAAGGATTCTTTGCAAGGCTAAAGCTGATTACGAGCTGAGACTTGCCCAAGAATATCAAGAGCAACAAAAAGGGCTTCTTTCAGCATGTAAATAGGAAGAGGACGGGGAGACAAGTGGTGGGACCACTAAATGAGGAAGGAGATCCAGTGACTGATATGAGGGAACAGGCACAGATGTTAAATGACTATTTTGCCTCTGTGTTCTCCCCAAAGCAGGACGGGGGAGATCCGCATGGGAGATTAGATGAGGCTGGGGACTTAGGGGCACAGATTAGAGTCACCCCCCCCTTGAAGTCGAGGGGCTCCTCAGGGCATTGGACATTACAAAGGCGCCAGGCCCTGACGGGTTACACCCGAGAGTACTTAGAGAGTTGGCAGGGGTTCTCTCACGCCCGCTGGCCTCCATTTTTGAGGCCTCGTGGAGAACGGGTGAAGTTCCAGAGGACTGCAGGGTGGCGTCAGTGGTCCCAATTTTCAAAAAGGGTAGTAGAAGGGGCACGGGGAATTACAGACCGGTTAGCCTTACATCCATTGTAGGAAAAACAATGGAAAGGCTCATAATAGAGAGAGATCTAGTGATGCTAGATAGGGAAGGGAGGCTGACAGCCACACAACACGGCTTCTGCGAAAACAGGTCCTGCCAGACAAACCTTGTGGAATTCTATGACAAGGTTTCGAGGTGGCTAGATGGAGGGGATGCAGTGGATGTGGTATACCTGGATTTCAGCAAGGCCTTTGACAAGTGCCCCATGATATCCTGGTGGAGAAACTGAGGAGTTTTGGGATACACCAAAGCACTGTCTGGTGGATTAGGGCATGGTTGACTGACCGAAAGCAGAGGGTAACCATTAGTGGGGAATCATTGGGATGGCGGTCAGTGACAAACGGGGTCCCCCAGGGCTCTGTCCTGGGGCCGATCCTGTGTAATCTTTTCATCTGTGACATGGAAGAAGGGGTGAACAGTCTGCTGGTCAAATTCGCAGACGATACTAAAACTGGAACAGTGGCCACAACTGAGGAGCAGGTACTCCAGATGCAAAAGGATCTGGACAGACTATGGAAGTGGGCAGGAGACAACAGGATGGCGTTCAGTGTGGAGAAGTGCAAGGTCTTG